ATAGCTATGGAACCCTGCTTTCGCTGGAAACATAAATATCCGTAACATATTGTGTGTATCGTGTTTACAGAATGATAAATCGCTTGAAACTGATCCAAGAATAATTATTGTAAATTGTTTCTTTATAAAGCAGTAGATATGACAAACTTATGATACTATTTTTATGAGGAAATGCGTAACATGTAATGTAAAAACTAGACAATAGAACTTATTGCTAAATTATAAATATTAGTCTAATCAAAGAACCTTATGATTAACTCCCCTTTTGATACTTCAGTCAGTAAGTTCAGTTTACAATTACAACACAACTTATTCACTCTAAAATTAGAAAAGTCTCAAAAAAAGAGTTTACATACAGCCTCAGCATAAATAAATACAAAAGAAATGTCCTACAAAAGCAAGCAACGGATCAGCTAATTCTACTACAGTCTCGTACCATAAGCATAATGCTACGACACAGATACATTTTGTAACAAGCAAATACAAAGCCGGGATAACGTAAGGTAACGTTGAACAAAACAATTTGTACACAAATCCGGATTAAAATTCCGTGTACGCTAGTATAATTAAGTAGAAAGTAGAATTAATTTATGGTGTAGGAACACTACCGCGGCGCAGTGGATTAGACGCCGTCGTATGGGAGCCGCGGTTCGCCTCGAGCCTCGAGCTGGCAGTCCATTGAGGGGAGTACTAGCACGCCTTGGGAGGCTACTAAGCTGTGTAACGCTAAAAGCCTCTGATTTTGCCTTTAGTTTTTTTAATTTGTACCTAGAGATGTTGGCTTAGCTAATCTTTGGGGCAACAAATCAATAAGAAGTTCTTGCAATAAGAAACAATCGTTTGTTATTTAGATATTTTGCCCATCGTCCACCTTTATCAACTATGTGAGTACCCATTGTATGTATTTGAAATTTCAGACCGTTGCATTTAAAACAAATATGGTTCCGATCGTTTCTACAAACTTCTATCGTAACTATAACAATTAGGCACATAATTATATCTTAAACCTATCTTTTATACCTTAATGAAACCTGCATAACCTTCAAAACAACACAGTTCCCGATTACCAAGCTACTGCCCCAACCGTGCAATCTCTATTACTTTATGCATGCTCTTTTTACCCTGAATGAGTTCAGGCTTCAGCTACATGTTGCTACATCAACGGTGGGACGTTTTAATGAAAATTGAAACCGCACTCAGCTACTACGTAGTTTTGAATAGAGAAAATAACGCGACTCAACATTTATTTATTTAAACACCCTGTTTGTAATGTTAATGTTGGTTTAAACAAAGTAAAAGGATTATTATTATTTATTTATTTAAAAAACTTTATGCACACAAACAAGTACATGGGTGGACTTAATGCCGCAGGCATTTTCTACCAGTCTGACCCTTGGGTGATGCAGAGAAAGTAATCAGCGGGTGCAAGAACATGCTTTGAATTTAACTGTTTGAAAGAACACATATATAATTCGACAATATACACAATATATATATACTACAACACAACTATATATATATTGAAGAATACATACTATATAACTATAATATGTATATATATATACACACATAGATACATACATACATATATACATAAAATACATAAGGTATAGTCAGTGTGATGAAGCAGCCAACCTCGTCAGGAGAAGCTCACGAACCTTCTGCTTGAAAGTTAAACGACTTTTCACCATTCTGATATCCTGGGGGAGCGCATTCCACAAAAAAATAGCTTGTACGAAAAAGGAAGAATGAAGGAAGTCAGTACGGTGAGTAGGACATTGGAGAAGTCGATTATGAGAAGAGCGAAGATTTTTATTGTGGTTTGCGCATATGTATTGGAAGTAAGGGGATAGATAATTCGGGGAAGAAGGCGAGTCTAAAAAGGAGAATAGAGTGGTTAGCGCCCTTTGCTCCCTGCGTTGGCGTATGGGCAACCACTTTAATTGCAACCGATGTGCAGACACATGATCATATTTACGCAGATTGAACACGAATCGAATGCAGTTATTTAAAAGTCGGTCAAGTTTATTGAGAAGATCTGCATTCAGGTCGAAGTAACACACGTCAGCATAGTCAATAATAGGAAAAACCAAGGCCTGCACCAGCATAGCCTTTGTAGCGGAAGGAAGCAAATTCTTTAATTTATATAGTGCCCCCAGGGATCCGGTGACCCTCTTACATACACTAACGACCTGTGCATGCCACCTTAAGTTAGTATCTATGCACAGCCCCAGATCCTTAACGTCATTACTGAGAGGGATAACGGCATTGTTAAAGATGACCGTTGGTAAATTA